TTTGACGAGTCTCAGCTGGATAGAGTCCAGGACTTGCAGCCATAGACAAAAGTTGACCAGACATAGGCTCTGAGCAAACGAATCTTGAGATTGATGGAAAGTTGTCAGTCTCTGAGGATCAATCAGAGTCTTGAGAATGCATCCTTTGTGAGTCCTATCCTTCTGTGAATCTCCGTCTTGCATCGGGCATCGGAGGTGACAATTGAGCCGAGGTAGTTGAAGGAGGAAAACCGTTTAATGGGGGTGTTGCCATGGTGTGGTTTGCAAGGTGGTGGGACCTCCAACTACAAAATGACTAACACCTTCATCTTCTTGGTCTTGATGCTGAGGCCCAGATGTTCACTGGAGGCAACAACTGCATCGAAGAGTTTTTGGATATCTTAAATTGACATGGCGATGAGAACCGCATTATCTGCGTATCTAAGGTTGTTAATCTTGACACCACTGACCACGATTCCTTCTGGATGATCATTGAGCTTCCAGAGGATCACTTCTGAGTACAACTTTGCAGTTAACCATGTTCATGCCGATGAGGAGCTGCATGACCAGGTGAGGCGCTTCTGGAAGTTGGATTTCGGCCTTGATGACAAAGACGAAAAGTTTGGAGAGTCAGTTGAAGATCGTTGTTGTGTGGATGCTACGGTTCATGAAGTACCTTGCCTCTCGTGTTAGAGAGAAGCCAACATTCAAGGAGACAGGTCCCCCGACCGCCCAAGAGTTCGTGCAGAGGCAGTCATTCCCGAGTGAGTTCCAGCCAGACGCAGGAGATAAGAAGAGGGCTCGGAATTCATCCAGGGTCTTGAAAGAACAAATCCCATTCTATGTGACAGCCTACTTCGTGTGGGCGGTAGGTTGGAAAGGTCACCACTGTCTGATGAGCAGAAATACCCTCTAATCCTTCCTGGTGACCATCACATCACCAAGCTCATGATAGTTCACTACCACCTAAGGATTGGACACTGTGGATCAGGAATGACATGGACTGCTCTCAGGCCGAAGTATTGGATAATCAAAGGTGGCGCTTCTGTACGACATGTGATTGGGAGTTGCATACACTGCAAGAAGCGGAATGCGAGACGAGGCCAACAGTTCATGGCCAGCCTACCAGAAGCAAGAGTGACGCCAGACAAACCAAATTTCAGCAGTACCGGGGTTGATTACTTTGGTCCATTCTTGGTGAAGCAGGGACGAAGCCAGCTGAAAAGATATGGCTGCATTTTCACGTGTATGTCCAGCAGGGCAGTTCATTTTGAGGTGACCTTTTCACTTGAGACGGATTCATTCATCCAAGCCTTCCGCGGGTTCATCAATCGTCGAGGACCTCCTGAACACATGTACAGCGACAACGGGACAAACTTCAAAGGGGGCCACAAGGAGCTTCAAGACGGTCTGGCTGCGGTGAATAAGAA